GGCAGTATGGCCCTTTAAGGACAACGAAGAAAGCTCTGCCGGGAAACGGACTCAAGGGGAAAGAAGAGGTGTGGGGTAGAATTTCTACCTCTGACAACTTCAAAACCCAGAGAGAGAACAAGGAGGCAGGCAGCGTGTCCAGGGATGTGGGTGATGGGTCACCTTGGGCATGTCTGAGACTGAGAACCCCACAGCTTGGGGGAGGGAAGGACACACCACACAGCCTTTGGCCAATGCAACCAGATGTTACATTTTCTCTGATTAATTTCGGTAAAACTCCATGACCTCTTTCTCAAATCAAAAAGGCATTTCCCCCCCACCCCCCTCCCCAAACCACAGGAGCTATCTTCAGTGAAGCCTTCTAAGGATGTCATTAATTCATAGCCAGCCAACCAGGACTTTTCCCACAGTCTCCCACAAAACAAGCCCAGGAAGTCACTGATTGCTTGGCTGGATCTGAATATGAGCAGAGGTAAGATCAGAAATATCTAGTTCCTCCCACAGGGAGGCAAGGCTTGGAAATCAAAGACGGGCAAAAAACTCATTACCACAGCTGGCCAGCAAATCCATAGCCCGGAAAGAAGGCAAAAGAGCATCTTTGATTCTGGACGGACCTTCAAGGGACTTCAGAAAATGAAATGCATTCACATCCCAGGGGGTGGGGTAAGGGATGAAGCCTCTTGTTTGAAAGGCTGAACCGTTTCCATACAAACTGTGGGCTGCTGTCAGGGCCCGAGATTCACTGAATTCAAGTCACTTCCTGGAGTCCAAACCCAGAATGCTTCGTTAGTGCTCAAGGGGGGCTTTTTGTTATTTGCAGCCACAGTGCTGGGGAATCTGGCCACTCCGGACCCCTCTCTAGTACCACGCACTCTGCAAGGCATAGCTGCAGCCAAATGCCAGCCCCCACTCTCAGTCCTTCATCCTGTCCCAAGGCCAAGGGGTGGTCAGGCGTTGGTGGCACACAGCAGAAATCCCAATAATCTGCTGTGAATGAGCACGCGAGTGATCACTGCCACTCAGTCGATTCCAACCATCAGCGACCCTGTAGGACAAAGTACAACTGCCCTAGTGGATTTCTGAGACTGACTCTGTGTACAGTAGAAAGTCGCATCTTTCGCCCAAGGAGTGGCTGATGGTTTCAAACTGTGAACCTTGAAGTTAGCAGCCCAATGTGTAACCACTACGCCACCAGGGCTCCTTTGAATGAGTACCTAAAGCCTTTTTAAAAAAATCATTTTATTAGGGGCTCATACAACTATTATCACAATCCATACATACATCAATTGTGTAAAGCACATTTGTACATTCACTGCCTGCATCATTCTCAAAACATTTGCTCTCCACTTAAACCCCTGGCATCAGCTCCTCATGAACACTTGATAATTTATAAATTATTATATTGTCATAGTTTGCCCTGTCCCATGTCTCCCTTCACCCACTTTCCTGCTGTCGGTCCCCAAGGAAGGTGGTCACATGTAGATGCTTGTAATCGGTTCTCCCCTCCCAACCCACCGTCCTCTACCCTCCCAGTATCGCCACTGACGGAATCATCCGCCCTGGATTCCCTGTGTTTCCAAATCCTATCTGTACCAGCATACATCCTCTGGTCTAGTCAGACTTGCAAGATACAATTGGGATCATGGTAGGGGGTGGGTGGGAAAGGAAGCATTTAGGAACTAGAGGAAAGTTGTATTTTTCATCGTTGCTACATCACACCCTGACTGGCTTGTCTCCTCCCCGAGACTCTTCTGTAAGGGGATCTCCAGTGGCCTACAAATGGGCTTTGGGTCTCCACTCCACACTACTCCCCTCAACAAAGCCTTTTTTTAAAAACCTTACTCTCCTATCTAATGGCAGGTGGTGAGCCGATGTTAAAAAACAAAACAAAATGACTATAGAATTCCTGGGGAATTTTTTTATGACAAATGCTCCACTTACATGCCACCTCCTCAGAGAAGCCGAGATCATCCAGGTGCAAGCAGTCATCTCTCAGCAGGCATTCAGCTTCCTACCCAGCACTGAGTCATTCAACCACTCACCCCACTTTATGGAGAACCTACTGTGGGCCAGGCACTGCTCCTGTCATGCAGCAGAAAGCAGAAATGGGTAAAAGCCCTCTGACTTCATGAGGCTGCCAGGAGTCCTGATGGGGATGGCAGCTCAGCTGCTAACCTAAAGGTTAGTGGTTCAAACCCACCAGCTGCTCTTCAGTAGAAAGGTGGAGGCAGCCTTGAACATTCTCCAGGACAGTTCTACTCTGTCCTGTGCAATTGCTATGAGTCAGAATCAACTAGATGGTAATGAATGGATTGTCTGGTCCACTGTCTCCTAATGGGACTGATGTTGCAATGGGGAGGGGAGACAGACAGACAGATAAGAATTACTACGTACATCCCATAGTGAAAAGTTACTCTGGAGAAAGCAGAATGAGAAACTAATTTAAACAGGGTGGGCAAGTCTGGTGTTTTCCGATTTTTGCCTTTCAAGCTCCAGAGAACCCACTGCCATAGAATTGATTGTGATCCATAGGATCCCTGAGGCTGTAAATCTTTCAGGGAGCAGATCGCCTTCTCTCTCCCCAGAGGAGCAGCTGGCACGTTTGAACCGCCAACCTTGTGGCTAGCAGTCCAACACTCACCCAACAGCGCCACATCCAAGCTCCAAGGATCCCACCCAGCACTCAGAAAGCAAATTTTCATTGAATGAATGAATAGATGCTGAGTGCATCCCAAACCCCACACACTCGCCTGATGGAAAATAACCACCTCAGCCTCGACACACTGGGGCAAAATTCCTGGCACCCCACTGACCTAGTCTAAACCTGCATCTTCAGCCTACTGCCCATGTCCTCTCAAATGAGCTGCCCTTCTCCAGCGTTGGTCATATCTTCCTTTTTGCCCAAACTAGCCCTCACCTCCTAGTTCCACCTGCAAGGCTCTGCTCAAAGTCGCCTTGGTGAGTTCTGCCTTCTTCATCTCATCCTGACCTGAGACCCTCCGCTCAGCCTTTCTCAGCCATTCTGAGCACATTTGCTAGCTCTTTGCCAGTAAAGTCTGTTGCCTGCCCCTCTATCACTGCAGAAATGCCTGGGTGCGTCTCACTGAATTTGAAAGGATGGCAGGGCCTGTCTGACTCTAGGAAACGTAAGCTGTGGCACAGGTAAAATTTAGACGGGGAGGCCGTGGGGCAGTGTATCAAAGACTCACAGAGAAGGGTGGTGCCCCTCCAAAGCGGGGAAACGAAGGCAGATCCAGGAGCCAGAGGGAATGGAAACTGGAACATGGGCCAGAGTTCCAAAGGTGGCCGCCAACCAGCACCTCAGACACCCGGTATCAGGCTGCTTCTCACAAGGGCAGCGCTACTGGGTGGGTTGTTGTAGAGTGAGCAGCAGGGAACAGGGCTCATGATTCTCCAGGAAGAGCAGGGAAGTGCAGAGGGAGGACAAGGGGCTGTGCCTTGGACTGGGGATCCTTGTGTCAGGGGAACTCTCTTTCCTTTGTCTAGCATCCCCAAGCACAGTGGGAGCCCTGAGGACCGGAGCCTGTCTAACTCATCAGTCTTCCCCCAGGTCATCTAGCGCCAAAACTGGACACAGAGGAGTTGCTCAAAAAAATCATCTTAGACTCTTTCACAACGCTGGGCACAGGGGGTGGGGGAGTGGTGGGGTGGCAGGCAGAGAGCCTGTGGGACTATAAAACAGTGCTACCAGCGCGCGCTTCTGCGGCACATTGACTAGAACCGGAACGATACAGAAAAGATTAGCACTGCCCCTGCACAAGGGTGACTCACCACTTTAGAAGCGCTTCATACTTTCTATGTATGGGGGTTTGGGGTTTTTGCTGTTTGTTTCATTCTCAGTTGTCTTTGATACAGTTTATATGAAATAACCGTTATTCTGTTAACTGAATACACTCTGTAATTGCAAAATTTGTAAGAATGCAGCTGTTTCGTTGACAATCTGAATGTGTCTAAGTAAATACAAATATTTTTTTAATTAGGGGGAAAAAATGATGCAACCACTGTGGAAAACGGCACTACTTCAGAAACCTGGGCACAGAAATACCACGACTCAGCAATCGCTCTAGTTGGTATATGTTCTAGAAAAAGAAGAGCCGCACTATAAGGAGATATCGGCGCACACTGCTCGCAGCGCGTGCGGCACCATGCACAACAGCAAGAAGGTGACAACAGCCTAAATGCTCACAGTGGAAGAAGGGCTGAGCTTGGGTTCATGTACACAAGGGACACACTGGACAATGTGAAAGAATAATGACGGATCTGCAAAACACCTCTCAATATGGATGGACCCAGAAGGCATGTCGCTGTGTGAAATTAGTCCATCCCAAAAGAACAACTATCGTGCAACACCACTACCACTTAAAAAAAAAAAAAGGGAAGGTTTTCACACCAAAAGCTGGGGGCGGGAGTGAAACCTACAGGTCGAAGGGCAGACAAATGCTCACTGGGATGCCGGGGAAGAGAATACAGATCAAGAAGGAGGTTGGTAGAAAATGATGGGCTTAGGGCAAGGCATTGGGAGGTTTGCAAGACTTAACAGCAACAGAGGCAAATACTGTTCTGTACACAGTCCTGCAATAGTGGTGCTCTCTAAGAAGATGCTTGGGTCAACACGCAGGCTGACCGGGTGTGGGAGAGAGTGGATGTCCACCCATGGAGATAGATGGGTTGTACAGAAGCCATTTGTGCATGGGTACTTATTACCTTTCTGCAACTGTGTCCATGAAGGTGGTAGGGCATACAAGGGATAATGTTATGACTTCTTATGCAATAATCAGGCACCTTCAGGGAATCTAAGGTACAAATATTGGTCTCTCCAAGTGCAGTGGAAAGTGATGGGAACCCAAAGGCACATGGAACTAGTCCAATGGACTAATGACTGTCCCACACCAACATCAGTGTCTATCACCTAGAGAGCACAGAAGGACTAGATGGTGCCCAGCTACAACTACTACCAACTGTTCTGAACCGCACTGAGTTCCAGACAGACTGGGTAAAAAACGTGGACTAGAACTCAGAATCCTAAGAGACCCGGTGTATGGGTCCCATCAAGAGTGGTGTCCCACCCTCCCCCCAAGACTACAGCCCTTCGTCATCCTTTAGGTCTGAAACTGAACTCACTCCCACCCCTAGCTTAGACCAGCCAACCACTTAAGATCGAAAGGGAAATTTTACCGAGTCCAGGGAGTTAGGAAAGGACGAATGGAAACAGTAAACACTGGGAAGAAGTAGGATAAATGGTGGTGCGAGGAGGGGATTGCAATGGAGGGATTGAAACAAGGCATATAAATTATTGGATGTAAAATGGATGTCTACTCTGTAAATCTTCACCTAAATCACACACACAGAAATAAAAGTTAAAAGGAAAAAAAAGGCGTCATGTCTTGTCCGCTCGTTCTAAGTATGTAAGTCTTTTTGAGTCTCAGCGACTGTGCAGTGACAATGAGCCCTAACTGTGCGGGTGCCTTGCGTGGATGAAACACACAAGACGGAGGAGGAGGAAAACTGTCACTCAACAGGGTCCTCGCTCGGCTGGCTGCTCCCACATTTGGTCTGGATTGCATTACGTTTTCCTCAGATAAAAGGGCAGTTGTTTCAGAGGAGGAGAGACCAGAAATCACCTGGACAGATGAAAATTAAAGGCAAAGGGGCTTCTAAACCATATGGGCTGTCTCAGGAAAATGCACTTCACCGTTCCAGAACGGCTCAAGGAAACCTCCCTCTTCCTCAACAGCCCCCCAAGTGAAACGGCCCATCTCAGAGCCAAAGTCCGACCACAGTCAGCATTTTTAAAAGACATTAATTAGGGGGAGGGAAAATACAAAACTGACAAAACAGAACAGGTGGGGGAGAAATTAGTTTTTTGTAAGAAAGGAAAAATGCTTTTTAAATCTAAAAAAAGTTCTATTTAAAACCAAATCCCATATAATTTCAAAAGGAATCATTTGTAGTATCTGTTTTAAGTGTGCAATGTAAATATTAACTGAAACAGCATTTGTTTCTATCAACTTCTACTAAGTTACTGCTCTGGAGTCATACGGCCTTTCTGATAAGTCCAAGCAAGTTTCTGTACAATGTGGTCATTTTAAAGAAAAACCTCCCAACTAATGTCCATCGATTATGTCGCCATTTTTTTGAATGGACTGGATGGTAGTGAGTTTATCATGTTAATTTCACAATGAAGTATGAAAGAATTCACGGCACTTCCAATACTGTTTTGTCTGTTGGCCTTTTGACTCTTAAGGAGCCAGCCACAAGCAAAATAAGAGCTCATACTGTCACATTTACTATCAAATGACTGCTTCTTAAATATCCACAGTAAAGGTAGTTTTCATTTACACTATTAAACCAGAAAATTTACAGGCCCACTTCCGTTCTAGAAGAGAAGTACATGTGTGTTCACATCGCATCTTTATTTTGTCATCCACCCAGTGATTTGCTGAAGACAGCTGGTAACTATTAAGTGCCCCCTTTAAATGTTGTAGCCTTAATTAGCTACATCCACCTTCCCCCAACATTTCCAAACCAGGAACCAAAGAAAGGGGAAGCCTTGTTTTGTTTTAATTGTGGATTCTTTCAACAAATGACTTGCAAACGTGCACACAACAGTCTCCTTTGGAGACTAACTGGTCATTCCTGTTTAGACCCTCCACCCGAAAAGGGTTCGGATGGAGTTTAAACTTTCAGTCTCTATTACTTAGGTCATTTTTTTCAATAGTTTGATTTTTAGTTTCCTGTCTGGTGTTATTAATTAAAGCTTCTTTTAAGAGTCTGCTTGGGAAAGGATGAGGGACAGTCTCCCCGGAGTTTCTTCCTGGTGTTATTGAATCTCCAAACTCCTTAGGAGTTCTGAGCAAATGGGACTGCCAAGACGGGAGGCAGGGGGAGGACTAGACCGACATGGTTTCCTCTGGACAGATGTCATGTCCTTCACACACAATGAGACACTCATTGACTGAAGGCTGTATCTTGCCACATGTACACACACACAGTTAACTTGGGCCTCCTTTAAAATATATCTGTACATTTTTTTTAAGTACCCATTTATGAACTCAGTACTTCAAGTGTGAATTATGTCAACGGGCTACATTTTAGCTAGATAAGGAGCCCCCTCCAGAGGTTCCCTCTGGGACCCGTTTCCGTCTTAGAGACGTGCCCTGTCTTTAATCTGCAGTAAGACTATCTGTTTCAATGGGATGTGATCACTCTGGGGCTTGTGTCTTTTCAATCAGCCGGTGGCCCCCGCCGGGCTTAGAGTGGCAGAGGGGAAGTGGCCTGCGGTTAAACAGAGGAAATACCAAGGCATTTTAATAGAGCAAATAGTCTCTTTACTTCCCACCGGGAGGAGCTTCAAAGGCGCGCCCCCGCCCCCCTCCCGGAGGAGACGATGTGTGGCAGGACCATCATTCACCTCATCCTGTGTCAGCCCCATTCAGAAAGCTCCAAGACAAACACGCCCCAGGAGAACAATGCCTCCCACTGGCTTGGCAAGCCCAGCTCACAGGAGACCAGCCACCAGCACAGACCGCTCCCCTGGGGCTTGCTGAGGGTGGAAGACCCTCTCCTGGGGGAGAAGTGAACCGCAAATGGTCTCTGGCTGCCTGGGCAGTGTGGCAGGACAAACCTCTTGTCCTCCACACTGTCCTCTGGGGCCTGGCTCCCTTGCCTCGCCTTTTCCTCTTGTAGGGTACCGCTGAGCGGATTCGGACTCACAATCTTCCCCACAGAAGAATGGAACTGTGCCCCGACGGCAGCCCCGTCCATAGGGTTTCCAAGGCTGTAATCTTAATGGAAGCAAACTGCCACAACTTTCTCAATGAACAGGCTAGTTGGTGGGTTCGACACCACCGACCTCTCAATTAGTACCTGAGTGTGTTAACCATCAGGAACTCCCTAAAGAGCTCAAGCACAAACCTAAACCCAGGGCCACTGGGCTCCCGTCCCATTCCCTGCAACCCAATCGGCCAGAGTACAGGTGTGCACAGGGTTTGCAAGGCTATAATCTTTACAGGAGTTACCAGAAATCTAGCAGGCCCCCACACCCAGTGTGCGGTAAATCCTTATCACAAGGCCATGTGGGAAATGGATTGTCTTTGTTATGTTAATGAATTGGGTTTGGACAGAGTGCATTTTAACTTAATTTCTTTGAAGATAGAAAAGAGATTAAGCAAACAGTCCAGAGAAGAAGAGGTGGGGCAAGAGAGAGGCCAGGCCGCATGAAATTTGCCCAGGAGAAGTCTAAGAACAAGGGCTCTCACCCATAGCTGACAGTGTGAAAGAGAGCCTTCCCCCTCCAGCCAGCACCCTGAACTGGGACTTGTAGCCCCCTAAACTGTGAGCAAAGGAATCGTTTGTTAAAGTCACCCACTCAGGCTATTTCTGTGACAGCAGCACTAGCAAACACCATCCGTCAAAGGGAGGTGCCAAAGGCAGTGGGGGATGAACAGGGACAATAAAAACTGGTGGCTGGGCAGCACCAACAACAGCAGACATCTGTTGGGAACACAGTGTGTGAAACGTTCAGGGTGGAACTGGGGGAAGGAGAGATTGGGAGGTTTAAAAATTTTTTTATTAAAATTAAGAAGGACCCAACACATTTTAGGCTACTAAATGAAGCATGTAAATACTCAACTTAAAGACTTTTAAAAGAGCATTAGCTGGTTTTTTGGGGGGTTGTTTCCCCCCATCCCTTTGTGTAAAGGAAGCTGTCCATTAGGTCTGAACTGCTGAAACTTGGAGGTGGCTCCTCCCCTGCTCCCTGAGACTATCCCAGACAAGCCCAGCTGTTCTGGGGAG